TATCCCATTCATACTGGCTTCATCTTATGTGGGTCTTATGCAGTTAACCACAGCTACTATGAGTTCACAAGTGCAAAAAAACATGTCATATTCAGAAGAGAGCATCTCACAGCACTCCTCCAGATCTTCCATTCTGTCTGCCCTCTCTCCAGTGGTGTTCACTGAGCACTAAGGATTTGCAGGTTGTTTTGGTGGGAAGCCATGAATAATGCTTTGGGTATCACTGATGCCTTCCTGAAAAACAACTCATAGGAAGCTACCCCATGCCTAGCACTGAGATTTTTGCTTAGTAACCTGTGTCTCCTAGGAGTAGCATTGTCCACCCATGTAAGATACTGCTGTTCAATCCCCCCTTTTTTTTCTAAATCCAGAGTGCTAACCAGAGTGCCCACCCCTCAAACTCCTTTTTCAGAAAAATTCTATTTTATAATTAGCTAATAAATGGTGGTGGATTGCCTCTTAGTTTTATCAAATAACTCCCTGTACCCTCTTCTCTCCCATCCCTAAATCCCATTAATTCTTAAACCTTTAATCTTCTTTATCTCTGAATCTTCTTACATATCACTTGAGTTCTACTATCCCTATTATATTTTTAATTGGGATGCATGGTAGTAGGTTTCCATATGGCCTTCCCAAACACTCTTCATGTTGGCTAACCCTCCTTCTGTTCCTTGTTTCCCTCGTGTTCCCTGAACCCTCCCTGCTTGAAACTTTCCACTCTCAGTATTCCCTCCCTCTACTTGAATTTTACCTGTATTTTATTTTTCTCACTCCGTAAGTGTATCCCTTCCTATTGGCCCACTTTCTAATTTTCTGAGTTCAACTTGTATTTCAAGTTTAAAATGCAGACAGTCCAGAGCTCCAACCCACATATGAGAGAGAACACGCAGCATTTGTCCTTCTGGGCTGAGTGACCTCACTCAGTATAATTTTTCCAGTGCTATCCATCTCTTTGAAAATTACATACTTTCACTTTTTATAGCTAAGTCATATCCCACTGTGTACACTGTATTTTCCCAATCCATTTATTGGTTGATGGTTATCCAAATGACTGTGTAGATAACTCTGTAGCGGGATATAAAGTCCTTTGAGTATATACCCAGAGTGTCATTTATTGAGTAGAGATCAGTAAGTGTCCTACATTGTACAGGAAAGTCTTCCTTAAAAAAATATCAGTAGTGCCAAATTGAGAAATGATACTCTAATTGTAATGAGAAAAAGGGTTTTGGGTCTTAAACCCTTTTCTATATCAGAGTAAGATTCATATAACTAAGAAGGAAGTCATATTAAATGATATTTGCTTCCTTAGTTATCTTTGGGTATGCAATTTAAGGACAGGCTCTGAAATTATGTCAGGATCTTAAATAAATGATCAGTATTTTTTAAAATATGGGCATAAATCAAGTAGAAATTTAATTAGAGCTAGTGAAGAAGTTTCAGTAATACAGCCATTTACAAAATAAATAATATGAAAATCAATAGCTTCACTATGTTTAGGCAATAGTTGTTGGGAAATACAGCCAAGAAAAGGGCCATTAACAATTTCGACCAAAATTATGAAACACCCAGGAATTAATTTTTAAAAATATTCATGACTTATATGGGGAAACCACCAAATTTTACTGAGATATACAGGAGATACACCAAATAATGAACAGGACCACTAAATGAGCAGACTCAGTAATATCAAAATGATATTCACCTCCAGATTAATCTGTCCATCTAATGCAATTCTGGTGAAGCCATAGTGGCTCTTTAGGAAGAAGGAAAGGAACAAAGAACTTGGAAAGATTCTAAAATTCAAATGGAGGAATAAATGCATGAGGCCTTCCACCCTGGTATTGTGTTAGGCAAGTAATGATGGGGTAATTTCGGGGAAACTATATCAAAATGCACAAATTGATGTTCTTCCTGTAAGTTTAAAATGTTATGTAATGTAAAAATAAATAATTCTAGGGTTATAATAATTGAGATTCTATTATGTAACAGGCACAGGAAAAAAATCAGTGAAATATTTTAAGGCATAAAAACAACCCTGTGTGTATGATGGTGGTGTTTCAAATCCATTAGGGGGGAGGGTAAAATAATGAATAAATAAATTGTAATAGCTGGCTACCTGTTGTTTGCTTAAAATATTCATCATAAGAAATATTGCATGAATTAAAGGTGGAAAATAGAGTGCATGAATATTTTAAAGGTGTAGGTGAATATGAAACTATGTAAGTAATGTTTCCCACACTTGCTACAAGAAATATGCACTTATGTCTAATTCTTAAATAATATAGGCAAATGGCTTCAAAATAAATCTATAAATACTACAAATAGATACACTACACCCCTGTTCACTGAACTTCTTTCCATTTTCCATACCCATTTAACCACTATCCTTGTGTTCTTAGCCTTCCACCTTTAAACTATATTCTAGTGTGTATTCTGCTTTTTCAATTTGTAAATTTTTTACTACACTTGTTTCAAACCTGTTAAAACTTAGTTAATTTCACATGATCAAGAGATTCTTTAGTATCTTTTTAATATCATTGCAGTTCATGCTCTGGGTATACTATAATTTGTATATCCACTCCCTTGGTAATTGTTATATTAGCGTCCTCTCTTTTGCCGATACAAACAGTAATGTAGTGGATATCATTATTATCACGTGTGTGTGTGTGTGTGTGTGTGTGTGTGTGTGTGTGTGTGTATGTGTGTACGTGTGCCATGGAACATGTATAAATATAAGAGGACAACAGGTGTCCATCCAGTCCTTCTACAAAACACCCACCTCACCATGTGGATCCTGCATATGAAATTGAGGTCATTAGGCTTGGTGGCAAGCATCTTCACCTGCTCAACCATGTTTCTAGCCCTGGATATGATTTTATGTGTCATTTCACAGGTACACAAGAAATCTTACAAGAACATCTTACATATTTATTGTGGTAAGATATACATTAAAAACTTTACCACTGTGTACAGTTAGTCACTTCTAGATATATAATTCTGTGATATAAAGTGCACTCTTTATGGATACACTTCCAGGAGAATATTTCTATCTCAAATGATTTGTAATAGTTAAAACATGGACCACTCATGCCACTTTACATTCTCATTAGGAATCCATGAGGCTGCATGATTTTTTTTTGCTGTCCTTAATAAACTGTGTTAGTAGTATTTGAGTTCTCGTCGTCTGTTTTGTGAAACTGTTTTCAACGTAGTTACAATTTACAGTTTTCTCTTAAAATTAGATTGAATACTTTTTCTTATGTTTAAGGGGGAAAGCCATTTAAAATATAATATTGAGACCTAGACTAGACCATAAGGAGAAAAAAATGATGGAAAGATTTGGCCACTTATAGAATAGTAAAAAATTAAATGCCATTGACAAACTGGGGTGGGAGAGTGTTTATAACATATGACAGAATAAATAGCCTTGCTATTTCATGTTATTAAAAATCACTCGCAAGTGTTGAGGATCTTGCCTTCTCTTTCCAGTTCGTTGAGTGTTTTTATCATGAAAGGGCATTAAATTTTTGTCAAATGCGTTTTTTTTTCTTCTCCTGAGATGATAATGTGCTTTTTAATAACAGTGTAATTGACATATAATTCACATCTTGCAATTCACTCTTTGAAATTGTACAATTCAGTGGTTTTTAATATAGCCACAGAGTATACAACCACCACCAGAATGTAACTTGAGAACATTTTCATTACCCCTAAAAGAAACCTTGTACCCAGTTAGCAGTCATCCTTCATTAACCCACCCACCCTCACCCCTACAGCCATTGTCAACCACTAATACACTTTCTGTCTATGGCTTTGGCTATTATAGACATTTCATATAATTGAAACCATGCAGTACGTTGCCTTTGTGCCTACTTCTTTCATTTAGCTTACTAGTTCCAAGGTTTGTTTATGCTATAGCATAGATAAGTGCTTAATTCTTCCTTGTTAAACTCTGGTAGACTACAGGACTGAGAACCTAATGTCTTGTTAGCATAAAGTTATCACCTTTTAATTGCTTAACACCAAATCTTCATCTTCTAAGAGGGAATCCTTCCACTGGAATTACTCACGTTCTGTTTTATATCAAGTCATTTCTTTTGCGGTTGAGTTTGGGAGCTCTCTGTTCTTAGGACCAGCAGTTAGCGCTGGGGTAAAATCTTTCTTTGATCCCTGACTTTGGGGGCTGGGCAGATCTTGATTGCCTCTTCCTTAGAGCTGCCAATGAGCTTTAGGAAATGCAATCAGTGTGGTATGTTTGGATCCCTACTATCCTCAGCCCTCTGTCACGGAGTTTCTATCCTATGAGTGGGAACTGGCTAAAAGAAATGAGTACGAGAAAGTTTGGCTGTATTTATCAGTACTGTTGCCCTTCATGTCCATGTTGGAGGTGATGAGAAGGCTGGCTGCTTGCTTTCTCATGGAAGGCCTATCTCCCTTGATTGAGCACCAGAGCCACAGAGCACCCAATCTTCTAAGCCGCTCTTATCTGGAGTGTTACTTGTACAAAGGCGAGCAAGGGGGTGGGAGGCAGACAGTGAGTTATGGCTTGTATGCCATATGTAGACCATCACTGTTAGATCACTGACTTTTAACAGATGTTCCCGAAGAAATGTTTCTTCGTTCACTGCATCTCCTTAGGATAATTTCTAGCAGTTTAGAATTTTGAAAAAGCACTTTCACCAGTTTCGAATAGTTTCACAGCAGTTCTTATGCTGCACTTCCAGGGAGGAGATGCTTCTCATCTGTTTACTGTTTCAGTGAGGTCGCTAGATGGCTATTAGCAGACAGTACTGATGAACATTTTAAAATATGGCTTCTGTTGTTTTTTTAACTGAAGACATTCTATTTGTAGTTGCTTACTTTCCCATTCTTTGCTCTTATTTCCCCAGTGTAAATGAATCTTGTATTGCTGCTTTACTTTATAGGAGTTATTTTTAGTCACTGTATTTTGCTTCTTACTTTGATTTTTAGGTTGCCCCCAGCATTTACTGTGATAGTCACCACTGACAATTCACGTACTATGTTTCCTGCAATGCCAAACATTCCTGCCTACGTGGCTTCCCAGGAACTCTCATGTAAGTTTTTCTCATTTTAAGAAATTATTGTTATTTTCTAGTTTGCCAATAGAAGCTATAGAGTTCCTGCATTTTATAAATAATTTTATAAATAATCACCGTTTGAATCTGCCTAGGACTTGATATCATTAGTAGCTTTGCATAAAACTTATTACCATGACTTTAACTATGAGGTCTTTTTAAAAAGTATTATGATTAATGTCTTAGCTACCTTTATATTGCTGTGGGAAGACACTATGCCCAAGGCAGCTTATAGAAAAAAAGAGTCAAAAAGAGTCTATTGGGGGTATACTTAGGGTTTCATAAGGTTAGAGTCCATGGCCACCATGGCAGGGAACATGGCATTAGACAGGTGTGGCCCTGGAACAGCAGCTGAGAGCTCATATATGACTCACAGCCACAAAACAGAGAGAGAGAGAGAGAGAGAGAGAGAGAGAGAGAGAGAGGGAGGGAGGGAGGGAGGGAGGGAGGGAGGGAGGGAGGGAGGGAGGGAGGGAGGGAGGGAGGGAGGGAGAGTGCTGAGAATGGCATGGACTTTTGAAACCTTAAAGCTCTCTCCCAATGATGCACCTCCCCCAAGAAAGCCACATCTCCTAATTTTTCTCAAACTATCCCACCAACTGGTACCAACTGTTCAATCATAGGAACCTATGGAGGCTAATCTCATTCAAACCACCCCAGTAAATATGGTTTAAAGTGATACAGTTTAGCGTCTACTTCATTAACACTGGTGTTTTGAGATAACTACTACAAATAGGAAAGGAAGTTTGCCAAGTACACCTAAATGTAAGAAATCCTTATTATCTTTGTAACAAATACAAAAAAAGATAATAACTGTTGGAGCCTTACTATAGTATATTTTTATGTCCATGCCCAATTTATGTTCTTTATATTTTATCTACTAAAGGTTTGAAATTCATTACTTCTTTTGGTACTAGTTAAAATATTATCGCTACTCAAATATTCCAGAGCTAGTTTATTATACCTTGTGGTGGGTTGAAAAAAAAATGGCCTTCAACCATAGTGGCACTACTAGGAGGTGTGACCTTGTTGCTGTAGAAGTGTGTCACTGTGGAGGTAGGCTTTGAGGCCTCACATATGCTCAAGATACCACCCAGTGTTTCAGACCACTTCCTGTTGTCTGTGGGAGCAAGATGTAGGAATCTTAGTTCCTTTTCTAGCACCATGTCTGCTTGCATGCCACCATGTCCCACCATAATGATATTGGGCTAAACCTCTGAAAATATAAGCCACCCCAATTAAATGTTTTTTTTTTTCCCTTTATAAGAGTTGCTGTGGTCATGGTGTCTTTTCACAGCAATAGAAACCTTAAGATATGCCTTTAAAATGGTATAGAAAATAAGTAAAAAAAAATACTATACAAAATGTAATCATAGTATTTTAATAAGACTCAAGATATCTTTACATTTAGGCTGATAGGTATTAATTTCTGTAAAATATTATTCAACATCTTTTGGAATATTTTGCTTTTTCTAGCTAGTCATGTTTTCAAGAATGCTGTTTTTTGAGTTTTTATTATAAAATCATACATGCATATGTGTATATGTGTGCAGCTATATACACATACAGCATTTTCTCTAGGACAATGATTTTGTTTATCATTTCAGACTTAATCTCACACATATAAACATATAAAATATATGAAATCATCTGGGGTTTTTTGTAAGAATGGAACCACATTATCTGTTTTAGTTTGCTTTTCAACTCTCTCTGCTTACAGTCTGATTTTTCTACATTTTTTTAGTTATTTCACAATTTCTTCTTATGTTTTATCTAGTTCCATACTTCTGCATATATTTCTATAGAAAGCAAACACAGTTTGATTATTCCCTGTCACCCAATTTTTGAGAACAAGATTTTGTTCTATCCTAACTCTAACTAGAGCTTTTTTGTGTCACCCACCCCCATACACACATACCAAAGCTAGTACATATGGGGCACCTTCTTCTTATACATCATACATTCATTGCTAGCCATATGTACTGTAAACCAGGAGCAACAGGCAGTTACCTGGAATAAAGCATGGGTGTCTGTGCCTGTTCCCTCAGCAGGAATGGAGTAGGCCAGATTCCCGAGTATTTTCGGTATACCTAACAGGCACCATGATTTCTGTGGTTATATAGTACAGATATTAACCTGAACATAGTGCTAATTGGGGGAGCCAGGCTAACACAATCCATTGTATACAAATAATATTTTTATTACAAATTTCATGTTACACAAGACTCATTTAATTGCCAAGAATGTTTGAAACTACAGAGAACCAAAAAGAAGAAAATAAGATAGTCCTAACCCCCAGCAGCCCTAATTTTCTTGCATTCTTCTTTATATGCCTGGTAAACAGTAAGGATCAACAGTGCTACTAAAGTTGTGAGAATTATGAGTAGAAGTCAGCAACAAACAGAAAACATAAGACTTAAGCTATGAAGACTATTCAGTTTTAATCTGTAAGGGGGCAAGGCATTCTAGCAAGGATACAACCAAAAAATTGTAAAAGAGATCTGGGATGTAAATAAAACTTTGAGAGGCTTTCACTAACCAGGTTGGCAAAGATGTATGGCTAGTGTTAGCTAAGATGTAGAGAAATAGGAATTTATTAACAAGGACATAGTTTTGTCTTTTTTTGTTTTGTTTTGTTTTTCAAAATCACTTTGGTAGGGCACTTTCACAAGATACATTAAGATTTAGAACATACCCCTGATTTAGTGTGATGATTTAGCAATTTAATTTGTAGGAATTAGTTTCTCAAGCCCAGTTAGATTTTTGTACAAAATATGTGTAGAGATTCTGTGTGTATTACAAAATTGTGGGGATTTTTTTCCCTTGAAAGTTAAATAGAACTTACCAGTGAGGCCATCTGGGTCTGTAGTTTTCAATATTTATGGGAAGAGTTTTAAGAATTGATTAAATTATTTCCTTAATGGTTATAGGGATGGTTATGTTTTATATTTTAATGACTCTCCAAGAGTTTTAATTTTCAGCATGAAGGTTAATTCATATGCCTGTTATGCGGTATATCGCTTCATCGTACAAAAGTGTTGTGTTCAAATCTATGGCTTTGACTCCCCCATATTTTAAAAAATATCTTGAATGACTGAGGCTTGACTGACACAATTTTCTCATTTCTTACTAACACTTTAAATTCTTACCAACACTATTTTATTTTCTAGCCACCACCTCAACGACTACCACTACCACCGTTACCACCAATACCACTACTACAATGACAAGTGGTTTCAACCTGTATTTCAAACCACCAGCATCACCTTGGCTTAATGACACTGGCTTAATCAGTGTGGCTTCTCTACCGGTTACCATGACTGTAAAGTAAGCTTGTTTATTTGAAATTGTGTGTTTTGTTTTTATCACCTTATAGGCATACTGGCATGGGTAGCTTTAGACTAGTATTTTATAAAGCAGTTAATGGAACAGGGAAGGATATTTTATATGTAGATCAGGAAGAACAGTCAACAGACTTTTGCAATACTGTTATACTACTAATAGCTATAATTTATTGTGTAATTCTATTTAGCAAGATGGCAATTCTTTAAGAACATCACACCATTTAACACTCAAGTATCCTATGAGATAGACTCTATTTGGGGTCCTGTTCTACAGAAGACTGGGACACATAGAGATTAGGTAGTTCTTTAATGATTGCACACATTGTAATGTGTGTACCATAATAAAAGTTCAAACAAACTCTAGAACTTATTCAAACTTGCATATTACATGAAACGATCCTGTGTGTCCTTTGTACCATTCCTGCAATGGCAGAATCTTGCATTAATGTTGTTGAGAACTAAGCTAGAATAGTGACATTGATGCAGTCAAGATACAGAATAGGGAGCTGGCGAGAGGTTAAATGGCTAAAAGCACTTGCCCCTATTCCACAGGATTAGTGTTTGGACCTCAGCTCAGAATTGCCTAGAACTCCATCTCCAGAGGCTCTGTACACATGTACAGGCACTCACGCACAGATATACACATATCAAAAGATAGAAGTAAATATTAAAATATACTAAATAAAAGAGAAAATAGTTCTGTCACCACAAGGATTTCTCTTGGTGTGCCCTTTTATGAGCACATCTCTCCTTCTTTCCTTAAGTCTGGGGTAGTAATTAATCTGTTCTTCATTTCCATATTCACAATATTTTAAGAATGGAGGCATATTTGTCCCCTAAGTTTTGGCCTTCTGTTTTCATTCAGCATGATTCCTTGAATTTCACCCAATAGCTTGATTCCCCCCTCCGTCTCTCAATTTCTGAATAGTATTCCATACTATTTCGTATAATGTAGTTTGTTTAAGCTTAGAAGTATTGCTAGGTATCTAGGTTGGGACTATGGATAGAACATTTACATAAACGTGTTTTTGTGAACCTAAGTCTTAACATATCTGGGATAAATGCCCTGACATGTAGGTGCTTGTCAGTGTGATGTTTATTATTTTATTTTAGGTGCCAAACACTTTCCCAGAGTGGTTATGCCATTCTGTGTATCTACCAGTAGTGTATGAGTTACCCACACTGTCCATATTTATTTTCTTGCTTGTGGCAATGTGACACTTTTTTATTACCCTTCATAAATATGTAAAGTGTTCTTGTTGTGGTATGAATTTTAATGTCTAATGGTTTTGCACATCTTTAAAGTTTTCTTCATTCTTTGAGAATTTAATATAATGTGTTTTGATCATATTCATTCTCTCCTCCAGCTCTTCCCAGACCCATCCTGACTCACCCAACTTTGTGTTCTCTTCTCTCTCTCTCTCTCTCTCTCTCTCTCTCTCTCTCTCTCTCTCTCTCTCTCTCTCTTTTTACACCCATCAAGTCTGATTTGTCCTGACAATATATCATTGGATGTGTAGACTTCTTTCCAAATACCCTCTTGAAGAAAACTAATTATCCCTCTCCTAACAGCTAAACTAAGGGTGGGACTTCATGCCTACTTCCCCTCTCCATGTTGGGATTTGGACTGGCTTGGGCTGATACAGGCTTTGTGCATGCTGTCACAACTGCTGGCAGTTCATATGGACAGCTGCCCTGCTGTGTCCTTGTCATCATCTACTACCGTTGACTTTTACACTCTTCATCTTGCTTGGCTAGGAAGGATATAATGGTATATATCTTATATATTTTTGTATTTGTATGTATATTTTGTTTGTATGAGGGCTGATTTTGTTTTTGCTTTTATGTTTTGATAGCAGAATAACAGTTAATGAATCAACTACCAACTTTACAACATACAAAATGCTCTGAGAGGCATTCTTATTCGTGTTTTCTAAAAGAAATTGTAGAGTTGGTGCTGATTCATTAGCTACTTTTTAATGAAAACTTCTGTGCCCAGATAAATCTCTTGCAGAATCCTTTAAATTAAAAATAAACTTATTTAATGGATCCAGAACTAGTCAGACTCTCTTATTTCATCTTTAATGAGCTTCAGAAATGTGTGGTTTTAAAGGAACATGTTCAGTTTTTTCCTGAGTTGTCAAATTCCCGTGCATGAAGTCATTTGTGGCCCTCCCTTATTGTGCTTTCCATATTGGAGATATATTCTTGTTTCATTTTTGATGTTGGTGGCCTGTGTCTTTCTTGTATCAATTTTATTGATATTTTTCTAAGGAACCAGTTTTCATTTCACTAATTACTCTGTAAAACTTCCCTGTTTTTATGTTCATTGTTATCCACTGTTGTTTCTTTTCTCCTGATGATATTGTTCATTTTCCTTTGCTAGTCTCTTAACTGACCTTCGCAGGCTGTTGATTTGAGGCATTTTCTTCTCACACCAGCCTTTAGTGCACTGTTTTCCCATGGCCCACATCTTTCACTATGCTCTGATTCCAATTTGAGTCATGGATTATTCGGATGCATCTTGTTTACTTTCTAAGTGTGCAGAGATTTTCTTCTTTTGGAATTAGTTATAATCGGTGGACATACTCCGTATGATTTCAGCTATTTTATATTTGTTTGGATTTTTTCTTATGCAGAAGGAAATGGTCCATCTTGCAGAATGTTCTATGGAAACCTAAATATTCTGTTTTCTTATATTGCTTATAGTGTTTTATGTATGTCTGTAAGATATTTTTTTATTTGTAGATTGGGGGGTGCCATATTCTAGTTTAGTGGTTCCTTCAGTTGTGTAGAAAAGCTTTTTGAAGTTCTCATTCAAATCATTTTGTATTTGTCTTATTTTCTCTCTTGAGCTTTATTTAACAGTTTCTCGAAATGGGCATCATTATAATAATTCTATACATATATTTAATAAATTGCTTTTATTTGCACCCCGGCTGCTTTCCTCCCCCATTTCCCACACCTACTTCCTATTAACAGTTCTTTCCTTCCCCCTAAATAGTTTCCTGTTCTCTTTTCATGATTTGTAATGTATCTATCTTTTTCTCATGTATTTTGAGGCTTTATTGTTTAGTAGAATATATGCTTGAATTGGCAGTTCTTGTACCTTGATTCTTTTATTATGATGTAATTCTCCTTAAGTTTGAATATGGTTTGTTCTGTAGTCTACCCTATATGATAGGAATTTCTTTTCTCTCAAAAACAAACAAAAAACATCCTTAGTTTTATACTTTTAATTCTTTTACCTTTCTATCCAAATAATTGGAGCGAGTTCTTGTCGGCCTTTATATGATTGGATGTTTATATGAGTGGATGTTTATTAACCACATTTATATTCAAAGAAGCTATTGACTATTTGGGCTTGTCTCTGCTGTTTGGTTATTTGATTTTTCTTGTGATTTGTGTCCTGTTTCTCCTTGTTTTTAATCTTCCCATGATTGCTGGAAATTTCCAGGGAGTTCCATCTTATTTTATATGTGCTGTTTTTAATACTTTGTTTCATACAATTTTTTTAGTAGTTTCTATTGATATTAAGGTATACACATATAACTTGAAACAATTTATTCATATTAACATTTTACCACTTTTTGTCAAGTGGAGAAACCCATTACTTAATTTTTCAACCTTTATCATGTAAGTATTGTTGTCACAAGTATTTCTTCTATGTACATTGAACATAACAGCCCAGAAGGTTTTGTTTTTCATTCCAACCATCAAATACAATCTAAGAAACACATTGAAAGGGAATAACACTCTGTCCTTTTCAGCCGTTTTGATGTGACATTACAAGACTCGCTGTTTCCTTTCTTCATAGTTAATCTTCAAGAGTAGACTTGGTAGCAATGCTTTACCTTATTTCTTCACTTGCATATGGTGTCTTTATTTCCTCTTCATTTCTGAAGATGCAAAAGTCATGAACACTTTGTTTCCTCCTTTCAGTTTCAGAGAAGAAGTCAGCTATCCATTCAGTAGCTCTTCTCTTTAAGTACGTTATTTTTCTGTCTGCTTTTTGCTTCTACAATTTTAAAAATTATCATTACCTTTAAGAAGTCTAATTGCTCTGTCTTGTGATGGATTTTTGTAGAGCCATTTCCATAACCTGATGTTTATCACAGCCACCTCACAATGGATTTTTGTGAGTTACTTTATTTTGGTTTGTTTAACTTCTCGAATCTTCATGTATATGTCTTTTGCCAAATTCTCCAAGTTTGCAACCTTTTCTTCCCAATCATTTTTCAGGTCCATTCTCTCTCTTTTCTGGAACTTCTCTTACATACATTGTTATCTCATTTGTAGTGTCCGCCTATGTCCTTAAGGCTGTTTTCATTTGTCTCTGTTTTCTCTTTTTGGTTCTATACATTTTAATTACCTGTCATTAAGTCTACTGATTGTTTTCTGTAAGGTCCACTCTAGTGTTAAACCCTTCAAGTAGGCTCATTTCAGTTATTTTATTTTTTGTTTGTTTTTTATAATCTCCATTCCTTTGCTGATTTTTTTATTTACTTCAAGAGGATTAAAAGTTGCCCTCTTCAGACATTTTTATTGACTGCTTTAAAATTCCTTTCCAGCAGTTCCCAACATCTGATACCTCTTCATGTTGTTATCTGTGTTGTTGCTAGTCTTTTCTCTTTTGAGTGGTGATTTTCCTAGTTCTTGATACGGATCATTTTTATTGTGTCATGGACGTTTGTCTATTATGTGAGGAGTGTTTGGGTCCTATTTATATCTACTTTCTTTTCATTAGCTAGTTCCTTTGTTGAGGTACAGTGAAAAGGGTGGGTGTGATTTTATGTTTAGTTTCCCACTGGACCTTGTGCCCAGCATCCCAACAAAAATGGAGCACTGAGTCATATTGCCTCAATGCACCTGGGCAGTATGGAAGTTCAGCTCTCTGTTCTGCTGACTCATTCCCTGTGAAAGTGGGACACCGCATCACATCACTTCACTACTTCTTGTAGGCTGCAGACCCAGCTTGCAGATGGGTGGTAGAGCACCTGATGAAGAGGCAAGTGAGGAACTAACTCAGTACTTTAGTTGATACAGGGGTAGGCAAAATTTCAGCTTCTTAGACCTTGCTGACAGAGGACACAGGATGTCAACTACTCTACCTCATCCTACCTTGTGGTCTCACAGATGCCGTGTTGCTGTGGAGGCTTGGCCCTCTACTAGGCCTTGCTGACACAAGGCTCATGGAAGAAAGAAGATAGTCCTTTCATTGACCTCCTTTATTTTTGGTTTTGCAAGTCAGTATGGAGGTTAAACTGCCCACTGAGTCTTGTTGACCCCAAGAATGGAAGAAATGAGAGCTGTTACCAGTCCAAATTTGTCTTGGAGTATTCAGTCTTTAGAGGTTAGATTTTCTACTGGGTCCCTGTGATTCCAGAGCAATAGGTGAAATCTAATGATTAATATCCTGCCATACTCAATCTCAAAAGCCTTGCTGCTTTTGAGTGAGGATTTCGCTTCAGCCTGCCATATATGTCACCATTAGTACCCCAGTAGGAAGTTAGAACGCTGCCTGCTTCTGCCAGGAAAGTATTACCTGTTACCTCCACTTTGCGCTCCACTAATACTACTACTGCTAGAATCAATGTGACCTAGGTGCCCTGACCACAGAGTCAGAAACCAAGCTTTTTGTATACGATTGGCAGAGGAGTTGGTGTTCCTCACAGCTCCTTGCGGGTAAGGGATGCTGATGATTTGTGACTAGTACTCAAAAGCACACTTGGAATAAGATGATTCCTAGAGCTTCCAGTATGCTGTACTGACATAATAGGAAGAGTAGAAGTAGATGGTGATTTAGTAGACATCTTAAGAAGTATTTATTTACTCTATTCCCTTAGGACAGTTTTCAGAGCATGTAACTGGATGTTTTAAAATCTTTATCGGATATTATTTTTGTTGGAAAGCAGAAACGAGAATCTCCCCACAGGCTTTCCCCTCCTAGTCTTCCTGTACTGTTTGTTTTAAATTATGATTGTAGTTTAAAAATATGATCATAGTATATCTTTTTATATTTTAGCTCAATTGTCACTCCTGTGATGACATATGGTCACCTGGACAGTATGGTGGACAAGTGGAATCTTCAACTGCAAGAGCAAGAGAAACACTTTCTTTATCAGGCCAACCAACTGAATCTTTGGAACCATGCACTGATTGAGAGTACTGATGAGGTAGGAAGATATTCTCATTGGTCTTCCTGTATTGTACAAGTATTTCCAGATAAACACAAGGGAATAGACTTTGGTTTTGTGATTAGTTTTCTGTTGCAATATTGATGAGTAGCATGAAAACATTTTTTTCTAAGTTAATATGCTCCCTGAGTTAGGAAGTGTTTGGTATTTCAAGTGTCTGAGAAAATGGGTATTCTAAAATTATTGAGACAATGTGAATATTAATATTGTTTTGTTCCTATTTCTCTTTAAAGCTTATTCTTTTATACAACGAAGTGGAAAAGGTGAAACTGGACCAGACCAGGTAGAACCTTGGACTTTTTTGCTTGAAAGATTCAAAATATTATTGTTCCATTTTTTTTCCCCATGCTGTTTATTGACATTTAATTTGTTACCCAGAATTGCTTTCATCAGCCTTTCTGTTGACTTGTTTTATTCAGGTTGGAAAGAGAATTAGATTTTGTCCTGTCACAGCAGAAGGAACTGGAACGTCTGTTGACTCCTTTAGAGGAGTTTGTGAAGGAACAGAATGTGCCTTTTAATCTGCTCTATGTAGATAAAGAGTATGAGAGAATGTAAGTAACTGAATATAGATTGAAGAATTGGGCAGAAGGAGAGAGAAATTGAGTCATAAAGCAGACAATAAATATTGGTAGAAAAGGGCAAATTCTTCTAGTTGGTATTTATCAGCTTGTTTGACTGCTCCGTGTTTATCTTTAATGGAGGCTTAGAAATGAAGGAATCATTCTGGCGGCTTGTTTCATATCATTTTGTTCACTGTTATTAATCTCAAGCTCATGTTTGTCTACTGTAACGTTTGTATATCTGTCAATTCTTAAATTAGAAATACAAAGCTTATGTGTGATACAGTCTTATGGAATATTTCTGGTTTCCTCATATTGACACATCTAAACCTAATATCTATACAGTTGTTTTAGTCATACATTATTTGATATTTCAAAGACAGACTGACTGTTCATTTGAGGATGAACTATGGTTTTCAAAATTGGAATGATTTTGTCAGCGTTTCAGGCTAGGTGTGTTTTATTTGTGTACTGTGCAGTCTTTACCTTGTGTCTATTCATTGTCATTGTTCCCATGGTAACCCTAGAACTGAGATTTGATAATCAGGCCAGTTTATAAAGCATAAAGAGACCTTGTGTGAACATATTACATTATCTAAATCGTGACTAACTTGAACACATTTTATCAGTGGCTTGTTAGTAAATTAAGCTGGAGCTCTTATGTTTTGTATTTTTTTTTCTTCATTTTTGACAGGTTCTTACCAGTTTTGCCCAGGCTTCTGTCAAACTCCTGGGTTAAAGTGATTCTGTCACCCTAGCATTCTGAGTAGAAGGAATTACAGGCACACACCACAGTGCCCAGCTGAGCTTTTGCTAGTCCTTTGCCACTGAACTTGATTTTTAAGGCTTGAAAGTTAATGTTTTTGTAGGATTTTAAATGTGAATAAGTATAGCTAATATGTACTGACCTCCACCTTCTCTACTTTTGTATTTCAGGGTTTGTTTTCTTCCTCTTTCATTTTTTATTTTTCTCTTCTTTCTTTGCTCTATTCTTTGGCATAGTTTCTGTGAAACACATACACACACACACACACACACACACACACACACACATATATATATATATATACATTTTGTTTTTTTTGTTGTTGTTGTTTGTTTGTTTGAGACATGGTCTGTCTACATTGTCTACATGTTCTTGGTTGGCTTAGAACTCTCTATGCAAACGAAGATGACCTAGGACTCCCTCTATAGACCAGTCTGTCCTTGAACTCATAGAGATCCACCTGCCTCTGTTTCTGGAGTGCTGGGATTATAAGTGTGCACCACCATTCCTAACATATTCTATATTTTTATTAATTTATTTGGAGAAGGTCTCATCTAGCACAAACGCTGTAACAGCTAAGGCAGGCCTGAAATGCTTCATCCTCCTTTCTCTACTTCATACATGATGCGATTTCAGGAATGTGCCACCATGCTCAACTTTATCCTTTCTTTTTTGTTTTATTTTTAAAATACTTACATCTTTAGAATATACTAACTGTTGGTTAGAAAGGGGTTGCTTAGAAACATTAATTCTATTGCAATTAATGCAAGAGATTTATATTATTTTTGTGGTCAGATTTATATTGCAATAAAGCTTTCACCAGAATTTTCAACAGTTTAGGCAACCAATTACATATAAGTGATTGGCACAGAAAGTAATAGATGGTTACCAGGCAATCTGATTGCATCTTTTAATTTTATAGAAATAAGTTTGAAAAATCTTCTGGCCACTTTTAATTCTTGCAAACATAATGATAGACTGGACTCAATCAATCAATCAATCAATATTTCTTCATCCCTCCCCACTCCCCATTGTCTGTGACAGTTTGGAATTTTTGAGAATTCATTCAGATAACTAATCAGTTTGTAGTAAACTCAGATTCATCTACCTTTTATTGTTATAAAGCTCATATCTTAAAATATCCTTTGCATGCTATAGCAGATCTTATAAGGTTTTACTGTGAAATTTTATGTATCCTCTATAATTGAAGCAATCTCAGCATTTATTGAAATTTGCCAAACACTAATCTTGTATCTAGCTAAATGCCCTTTGTATACCTTTTGCTTTCCCAAAAGGGTTTCTTTGCTGTTGCACTCATCAGAGGCTAAAGCCTTTGCCTCTGTAGTCTTAGGTTATGATCATAATAAGTTGGCAAACATCAAATCCATTAGACAATGTCATTAGTCATAACTGGGAACCAATGTGAATGTAGGGGAATTGGGACAAATCTTGCTGGCAATGACATTTCTATATGTCAGTCATGGTAGATGTGAGAAAAATGTTTCTTGTTAATCTTTCTTTCACTTGCCTTTGCAGCTACAAATTAGCGGAAAACATAGATGCTGAGCTGAAAAAAATGTCGCAAGATCTCAAGGACATTATTGTTCACCTGAATACACTTGGAAGTCCTGATGACACCACTGTGCCAGTATGCTACTTGCTCTTTTTATGTAGAAAGCCATGATTTCATATGAAATTGGCCCTCTGGAGGGCTTTTAATGCGTCACATTCCCTGGTCCTCCAGAGTTTTCCTTATCTGCCCTCTAGAGATATGAAGCTCTTAGGCATGATTAGAGGGACAGTAAATATTTACAGATGGGAGTTTTGGTGGTTATTCACAGGAGGATAAAATAAACGACCCTTAATTTGTACAGGGTTTACTCTTTACATGATTAAACATATGCTGGTCCTTTTTTTTTTCACTTACTCACTAGTTAATTTTTCATAACATATAATTTATTTACTCATATAAATATGATCAGCTACATCTAGGCCTGTTAGACATATTTAAGCGCTCTTTAATTTATATCCTTCAAATGTAGTGACTTAACTGTTAAGACTTAACATTTTTCCTTAGAATTTTTTCTTAAATATTGTCAGTATGTTTCTTACTGCCTCACAGAATACTACTTAGTTCATAAAGCAAATACATTATATTATGGGAATGTATGACTGAGAGTCCTGTTGGAATTGAGATCCTGTGAATTAATTTGGCAGTAAGAAAGAAGCAGGGTTTCTTTGTCATTTTCCTATACTCTCATTGTTAAGAGCTTATTTCCTGTATCTTTTTCTATTATCTCAGCAGCATAGATGAAGTTCTCTTGTCCCCACTCTTGCTAAATAGCACTAGTGCTAAGAGGAATCTCCCATTGTAGGAGCTTCTTTTGTGCCTTCTACAATTAATTATAAGTAGCAGTGAGGCTAGGATCTCAGTAGATGAGAATGAGTAACATATACACAAGTGGTGATTATTCTCTAGCAGGTTCTTTGTCCAATTAGATGCAGACTGTCCTTCCTGTACATACATATTATTACTGCATTTTTTAATCATGAAAGAAAACAGCCAGTTACAGTTGAGAAACTATTAGAATATTGTTTGTCACATAATCTCTTTGGGTCTTGTCTCCTTTTGCAAAATGTCAAGAGTAGAATAAATGATCTGTAAGTCCCTTTCAGCCATAAAAAATGCTATTCTCTACTTAGCATCAATGTAAAATTGAACAATGACGCATATAAATTAGTCTGGAATTACCAATTCTACCATCTGCCTTATGTTCACAAAGACAATCATGAGTCAACAAACTACATTTCTGTTAGATTCCAAATGCAATTGCAAAATTCAAAATTGTTATGTTGTAATAGATTTCTGATGCATATATAAACAGATTTAGACATGGTACAGAACTGATGTCTAGTCTTGGAGTCCTGAAATGATGTGAGAAGTATGGTCAGCAGAGTTAGTGAAATCCTATCTTTATAATTTTCCCAACTTTGCCCATGATAATTTTGTTTTACTAGTGAGTAGCAAATAGTCTCGTGTTTTCATTTTCCCAGGTAGGGATAATTGAGATATTTAAGATGACTAAGTTAAGGGTAATTATTGTGTGATAGCAGGGCAAAAGGAATATTCAGATAATGCAAATCATTAGACAGAAAGTAGGAAAAAACACACCTGCTGAATGATAATGTCACTATAGATAATGTAATGATCATCACAAATCCCTGTTACAATGGATTATATATCATGCTACAAAAGTGGAAGCTATGTGTTTCAGCATTCGTAGTACGGGGATCCAATGACTTCTTTTACTCTTGTATGTGTGTTGGGGTGAATGGGAAAGATCATATAATACTTAAGTTTTTTATTAAACGGTATGTTCTGTTACCCTGTTATATTTTTATAAAATTCATATAATTAAAATATCAATATTACCAATTCCTTCTTACTATATTGATATACTTCTTCTAGTCTTTTTATAATGCTAGAAAAAAATAATCTTCTGTTTAAATAAAATCAGAAACATACCCATAGTGATTTTTACTTTCTGTTTTCATGGTTCAGTCTCAAAATTTTAGTCCTTCTTTGACAATGTGAATTTTAACACTGCCAAGATATTTCGCCAGAGGCAAATTTTATAATATACTTAACATTTTTTATTGGTAGATATATTGTTCCCATATTTTGGGTAATCTAATATAGCCTTCTAATGACCAGTTATTTAGATTTGGGCAGGCTCCTGGAAGTAAAATATACTCAGTAAAAAGTATAAATATTTAAAAACTATTGATACATGCTATAAAAATTTACATTTGGAAATGTGAGCCAATTTATATTACTGTTGAGTGTATATTAGTGTATTGATTTTTCCTACTTGCAAATTGAGTGTTCCAAATCTGAAATATTGGAATCTGAAATGCTCCAAAATCTAAAACTTTTTCAGTGATGAAATTATGCACAAGTGGAAGAGTCCACACTCATGGAATGGGTCACAGCTAAAAAACACTGGCATATCTGGACTCGGAATGTAGCTCAGTGGTCAAAGTCTTGTGTAGCTTGTGAGAAACAAATGAACAAGCAAACCAACACAAACACACAAATGCAGTTATAATACAGGCTATATGTGCAAGATATGCATGACATATAAATTCCATGTTTGGGCTTCTTTTCCATCTCTAGGATATTTCATGTTATATAATGTAATGTTCCAAAAAGTTGTAAAATAACTAAAATAATCCTTTTCAAGCATTTTGGGTGAGAAACAATCAACCTGTACTTGACTATTGAATGTTACTATTTTTAAAATAATGAATTTGAGGGGCACAGCATGTCGGTAGACTCCTATAGTCCCAGAGCTTGGGAGGTAGAGGGAGGGCTTGGGTTACGTGGTTAAGTTCCAGGCCAGTCTGTACTACTTAACAAGCCTTTGTCTCAAAAACAAAAACAAAACAAAACAAGCAATTGCTGATTTGATTGACAAATTTGATGTTCCTAATTTTATGTGGATTGTTTTATTTGTTTTCTTTTGAAATATCTTTTAATGTCCTTTGTTTTTATATTGTGCTTGTCAGGTTTATTTTTATTGATTTGTAAGACTTTAATCCCTGACATTTACAAAATGAATAGATTGAACTAATGCACAAAAGTAATTAGCATTTTAAGTATGAAATGGCAAAACACCATTAATATGTAGTTCATTGTCAGAGCAGCACTTACTAGAAGAAAATTAAATGTTGCTTCTTAATTTCAATTTCCTATGTTTCTTTCTTTTTGTTTACTACATTAGAATAATCACAATCTAAAATCTTGCTTGTATTTTCAGCTTGAGCAGATCTGCAAAATTCTGAGTACTCATATGGACTCTCTGCAGTGGATTAGTCATAATTCAGGTGGGTGTTTTGTATATATGTTGTAAGTATGAAAATACTGGACAACACACATTGTGCTTTCAGTGGCCACACAAAAGCTCTGCTGAAAGGCTGTTGCTCAGCTCATGCCCATATGAGCTCTGAAGAATTAACTAGAAATTAATAAAAACAGCGAATGGATAAAGGTAGTGTGTTGACAGTATGAATAGAAGAAGAACTTTGAAGTTTATCTTTTGTGTACAGTTTTGATCTCAGTAAACTGAGTATATAAAACATTTGCTTTATATACTCAGAATTGGAGCCCAAAATGGGAAGAGAGACAAATACTGAAGACCTGCCCCCCAAATCAATGTAGTTTATAACATTCTAGCACAGTGCTGACAGCCATTGAATGCAACATTGCTTTTTGATGGTGTTGTGTGTGAGGGTGTGCATGTGTATATGTTCTTGTGTGTTTGGGGGATGTGTTGCATGCTTGTATAAACTGGGCAAGTCAATGTTGGATATCTTCCTCTACGCCTCTTTTATTTTTGACAGAGTTTTTGAGCCTGAAGATCACTGATTTGATGATACTAGCAGAAAACACTTAAACTGAATCATCTCCAGTGTCCCAGAGTATAGTGTTCTTGGTAGTGCATTATTATTAGGTGAAAAGAAATGCAAAAATAAATAAAACCTCTTAATAGTATTATTGTTAGTGTCACAGTTATAGAAGGAGTTATCACTACCATTTTGTAGCCATAGCAAAATAAATCAAATGTACACATCTATTAACGTTAATAGAAATTAGGGTTTTGTTCATTTACATTTTATATTTTATTCCAACGCATTTCACTTACTGTACACAATTTCTTTGTGTCCGGAGCACCAAGTAACTTTAGCAAGATACCATAGATCTGGGACTAGTCTCTCTTCTTTTTTCTTTTCTTTTTTATTTATTCTTCTCTCACATATTACATCCTCTCCTCCTAGCCCCTCCCTCACACTTTTCCTCTCCCCTAGACCCATTTCTCCGTCTTTCCCTTCAGAAAAGGGCAGCCTTGAAATTAGGATTTTTATTGAGAAATGAGATGCAAGTTATTTTTCTTATATATTTGTATTGTAAATTTAAAATTCAGATAACATTAATGAATCTGAATTTCTTTGTTTTATACATGGAAAGGGCTTAGAAGCTCAACACTTAGATACCCAAGGACCAAGATCCTGGTTTCTACAAATAAGTCCCATTAATAGATAATGATTCTTCTTGGATGACTTTGATCTCAGGGCTGACAGCAAGAAGTACAGGAGAACTGTGGGACATGCAAGGAAGAAAACATTGTTCTAATACTAATGATGTTTTATCAGAACTTAAGGTTCTCTTAAACATAAAAATAATAGTAATAGAGTATAATATGTTAAAGGCAAAAACCTCATGAACTCACAAATATACCCTTTAAAAGAGAGTGAGAAATGAAAGGGAGAGGGAGAAATTGGCACAGAATTATGCCAACAATTAGTTATAGAAGGTGATAGAATTGGGGAACTATAATTACAAGTTTTCCATGGAATATGTTTAAGTTCATCTTCATCTTGAATACCCTGCCTCGTTTATAAAATCAACTGATAGTCCATTTTGAGGCAGAAAAACATGCTAACAGGAAATGGATCAAATAAAGACTGCTGGTTATTCTGTTAACTTTCTAAAAATAGTATTATTGAGGCACAGTTTGCACACCACGAAACTCAGCACTTTGGTTGTTTGAGTCAATGGGGAAATCACAGCTTTGCATTTGTGCCATAGTGGCTGATTCATGCAAGGGTCATCAATAAATATCAAAATTACAAAGTTTAAGATCGTTGGGGAATAAGATGCTCATGTACTCCTAAAATTTGTTACTCTGTATATTGGTTAATAATTACAAAAGGGGAGAAAGGCTTTCCTAAGAGCTATCTGACATATATCACTCTCATGAAGTGATCAAATTGGAACTGACCAATAATGGAGAAGGTGGTGAGTGTGCCTAATGATTTTACATGCAGTATAAATTTTTGTTATCACTTATATAGATAGTATTAGTGCCAAAATTTTCACCTGAAACTAGTCAGTCACAAAATCATATAGTCAGTGTATACATTCTAAAATATCATTGTTTTGGACTGTTCCAAAGATCAATCATGAAAAACAAAAAAAAAAAAAAAAAAAATTAAGGGAATGGTCATAGATTAAAAGAGATATGGTGATCACATCTGTGTCATCATTGATTAAATACAATACCAGAACTAAAACAGACACTATTTCAAATAATTAGGGATTTTGAACTGTATACAGACTACATATTAAGAAAGTGTTCCATTTTCCTAGGTGAGATGATGATCATCGTGTTAGAAAATATTTTCCTAGAAAATACAGAGGAATTTGTGGCAAAACAGTGAGATAATCTAGATAAAGAGTATACAAATATATTAATTTTACTATTTTCTATATTTTCTTACAAGTATAAAACAAAAACCAGGCAAAAAAAGAAGAGCATGGAAAGGGGAGTTGAACACAAAGCGCCGTAGAGGTTGTGGCAATTTTTAGCTGCTGGGAAAGGGGGTCACTTTTCTTTATGAGTGTATCTCCCCTGGAAAGTTGACCATAGTCATAGTGCAAGACCACACATTCAAGAATATTTGGACAGTTAAAATTGGCCTTTATGGGGAAAAAAGGACATAAAGTTACATGTGTAGGAAAGGGCATGTGGATCTGAGATGAGTTGGGTAAGAGAGGCTAAATATAATCAAAGCATGATATATAAAATTCTGAAAGAATAATAAAACATATATTAAAATAGGACAAGCCATTTTATAAACTTTGCCTAAATGTAGGGGTAGGATGATATATCAAGAAGAAAAGAATATAAAACATAATCAACCAAGCAATTACAAATTTTCAAGACAGCCATAAAATAATCCATTTTCTTCCTCGTGGACTTTCTAGGTTCTTCATTCTCTGACCTAGTAGACATCAACTAGGGTGAATTTCTTCAGTGTCTTTCACTTAGAAGTATACCTGTATTATCACTCATTGTTACCTGTGTCTTTCCTTGGTTAGAGGAAGAAATGCCCTGTCTCTTTCTAAGCTCTGTTTAGAATCATTGGATGGGAGTTAAGTTCTATATTGTTTGCACATGCATTTGTTAAAATAAGATGCATACTGTGATGATTTGAATGAGAACAGCCTCCATATGTTCACAGATTTGAATTCTTGCGCCCCATTTGGTGGAACTGTTTGGGAAGGGTTGGTGGATATCGCCTTTGTGGAGGAGGTGTATCTGTAGAAGTGGGATTTGGAGTTTCAAAAGTCCAAGCCATTGCCAGATATCTCCTCTTTCTCTGTCTCATACTTGTGGACTGAATTGTGCATTCTCAGCTAATGCTCTAGTGCCATACTAAGTTTGCTGGCCTGCTGCCGTGCTCTCCACCATGATGGTCATAGACTCCGACCCTCTGCAGCCATGAGTCCCAAATTAGACGTCTTCTTTTATGCATTGCCTTGGTCATAGTATTTTTTATGACAATAGGAGAGTAACTAAGACACACACACACACACACACACACAGGCACGCACTCACGCACATGCACAGTTGTGCATGCATATGTTCAGATTAAGTTATTGCCTCTTTTAGTGTGCATTTAATCTCTATGAAGATTAAAAGAAGCAGTGTATAGCTTTGTCCATAGGTGGTAATCAATGAATGATAGTGAGAAGAACTAGTTACTGGTTGTCAGAATTTGAGCTGTATGTGTACGGGGGTGGAGATAAGAAAGGTCATGGGGTTCAAAGGGAGCTATCAAATTGGATCTAGAGAAATTAGTTTGAGGTAGGCTACCATTAAACACTATGTGTGTAGAGAAGTTTATAAGAGTAACTAAGTGGGAAAATGTTAATATCCATACAATGCCAGAGGATCAGATTATACAAAATCTTGCTGTGTGTTAGTTATTTTTCTACAGTGAACAGACTTTTTGGGTGGAGTTAAAGGAGGTGTCACAAAGTAATTTGGGTTATAAAGAAAAATTGCAGTGATTTTTTTTCTTGGTGGGGATCCTCTTTGTCATAAATGAAATCTTAAGGTTCCCAGCCAGTGTTGCCTTTATAAAACTAAAGTTGTTAGTGTTGCAAGGGGTTTACTTTATATAAGTGAAAAAATTGTGGCCCAGAAAGGTTTAATGGTTTCTTTAGAACACACAGCTAAGAGCAATCATAGAAGAATTGGGAGCAGGATCCAGATTTCCTATGTACAAAACAGTATTGTCAATCCTGTGCTTTTCAAACAATGTGGGTATGGTTAGATATAAAAACAAATCTTAATCATGTACGGAACAGTAGAGAACAGGGTTGTCAAAATATAATAATATTTTGGATTGGAGATTGGAGGTAAATTTTAGGTGTCTGGGTAAAGTTCTCAGTCAAAATTGGTAGCAAGAATAAGACAGTAGAGTGATGATTAATGGGAATTCCTTATTTGCTAAAGATTTATTTGAACTAAAGAAGCAATGAAATTTTGTAGAGGCATTCATTTGAGAGGGGGGCTCTGCTACAAAATTGGGGGAATCCTGGTAATTCCTGATATCACAGGCTTCTTTTACCATTCCCACCCAACACGCCTTTCCTTTTCATAGCAGGAAATGGGGGTGATTAAGAAATGGAGCATGGCAGGGTTTAATTATGCTGTCCAAGAGAGGATTTTTTACTTTTTGTTTTATTTTTGCGTTTTAATAGTTAATTGGATCATGTCTGCTGAAATGGTCTGTGGACTGAAAGTTTAAAGATTAAATGAGTCCATTTGATCACATTCAGAGAGCAGTTATAGAAAAATGAATGAGTGTGTTATTCTGGCAATACAAATATTATATTTTACTAAAGAGAAATCATTAACTCATATAAAATCAAATCTTTATTTTAAAAGGTTTCTAGGAAATGTTTTTGGGACTTAATATCTGAAATATTGGCACAAAATTTTCCATCATAAAACATGGCAGCTGTTACATGAAAA